CCCCAAAACCCCAAAACCCCAAAACCCCAAAACCCCGTTCAAATTGAATTTGCTAAATTTGAATAGTGAATGAATATCTAGGGAAATTTATTTTAATTATAAACAACTAATTCATAAAAATGAGTTAAGATCTTACTGTTAATGCTAGCGAGCACCTAAATTAAACCATGAATTTGATGTTCAAGAGCCTAGATTAATGCAGAGTGGCAATCTTGCTGTGATGGAAGCTTCTTTAAATCTTGCTTGTTGCTGGGATTTCCTCATCTGATAACTGCTGCACTATTGTGTTACATTCTAGTATCCAGATATTCGAAAGAGCGCATATTAAATACGTCAGGAGTTGGGGGTGTTTTCAGCGGCAATGTAACTACTAGCTACACTTCTAGGTATGGTCTATACAAGGCAGTCTTGATCATTTTGATAATTGCCTGTATTACAAGAGGATTATACTTGCTAGATTTTGCATTTTTAGAAACCTCTGGTGTAGGCCTGGCATTCGCTGTTAAGATCAAGACTGATTTAGGGTTGCTCCTAGCAATCAATACATTCTTTTTCATCATCAGAGTAACTTTAATAACTTATTTACGTTATATTCTATAGACTATACATATGATGTAGATCAAGAACACTCAGGATCATAATTATTACAAATTGAAATATGTCAAGAGGGCTTGGAGATATAATTTTGGGCTTATTGGAATCGCCTTTTTAGTTTATTTCTTGGCAACATTTTACGATGACTACTCAACTCTCATAATCTATACATATGACATTTCATTAGTGGTCTACTTGATCTCAATTTTCAGATTCAAGAATAAGATAGTTGGAGTAATGAAGAACAATTAAATTCTATATGATAAGAATGAGAAAAAGGAACTTCAAAAGGCAAATAGAATCTTTATGATCATAGCCCTAGTTTACATTTATAAAATATTCCTTGCTAACTTAGCTAGAACAGTGAAAAATCAGTAACATTATAATAAGTATTTATTGATTTAGATTTTGGCCTTTGGCTTTTTAAGTATTCTTGGAAGTAGGGTTAGTCCTATCATTAGTGCATTACCTATCAGTAGTGTAAGATTTATCCTTCTTTTTGGAGTCAAGCTCAAGGAAGTCATAAGGAGAAGGTACCAAATTTCTGCCATGTTTTATTTAATATAGCTAATAAAGAGAAAAATAATGATGAACTCAATAATAGCAATTTAAGCTTAAAAAAAAGTTAAGACAATCAAAAGCAAGAGGAGTAGAGACCAGTGTTAAGAGCCTCAAGAACTTACCAACAAATGCTGATTGAATCGAACGAGTCTATCTAGGTCTTAGGAGGTATCGAAAGTCATTTCAAGAATGATGATAAGAATCTTCTTACTGAGGATGTTAGAGCTGATATCAGAAATATCAAGAAGCAACTTTATGACTTGATAGCTAACTTAGAGAAATATGCAATTGAAGAGATGAAAATCTAACAGAAAAATGAGAAGGATAAGAAGTCTTAAAAGAGTTAGATAAAATCAGGGGAAGAAGATGGCAGTGAAGATGAAGAAAACTAACCTCTTATCAAGCAAGAGCAGAGCAGCATACTTTCTCAAATTTCTGGCAGGAATTTGTTTGAAGAGTTCGCCAGAGCTACTCGTTTGTATTACTACGAGAAGGATCTTGAGAGATTAAAGAGCTTGATCAATTATTGCAAGCATGAGATTATTGTTGAATATCAAAAGATGCTAAGAGGATCAGTAGACGAAATGAATACTGCTTAGAGAAAATTTGGAGAAGGACTTAAGAGAAAGCTTGAAAATCTTGACAATAAGCTCAGTAATAGTGCTAGAATGACCAATGTGGATAAATCCTTGAATTTCACCAGACTTTCAGTAGACATTAAAGCTAAACTTGAAGAAGAAGTCATTCCAAATATCACAAAACTCAAAGGAATAATTGAGGAATTTGATAACATCAATTTCTATAGAGTTCAGCCATTCCCTAAAACTCTTAAAGACTAGGGTAGAAAAGACTAGAAACAATTGGATGAAGAAGAATTTGAAAAAACATTGAATTCTTATGTTCAGCTCGCAGACTTATAAGAGAGGTTTAACAATCAGAAGGCATAAATGCTTGAGATTGAGAAATTCCATGACGAATTACTAGAAAAACTGACACAAGTTCAGAAAGATCAGTAAGCTAATGCTCCCAGAATGTCTCAATGAATAATGGGAAAGCCTAATTTAAGTGAATGAATCATATATAACCTGTAACTGTTTCATTCATTAAAACCTCTTGAAAAGTTTTGTGAAATATTAAACTGTTTATAACTCTTTTCAAATAGATTGAATTTCAGTCTTGAGGGGTTTTGGGGTTTTGGGGTTTTGGGG